AATGTCAAACGGAGTCAAAGTTTTCTGTCGGACTATCAGTGTACATGTATACATTAAAAAATAAATGTATTTTTCATCATCATACACTGTTTTTGTCGCTTGAATGAATTTTATTATTTCTTCAAGGTTCTTCACATATGTATACCTTAAGAGATATCAAGTAGGCGTAACATGTTCTCCAAAAATTAGGGTTGGCACGTGGAAGAATTTTGAGTCAGAGATTTTGCTGGTTTTGGCACACACACAAAAAGGTTGCCCACCACTGCCCTAGGGAATATAGTCTATAATCTAATTGTTATTAGATTTTCTGGGATGATCCCTTAATAGTTTTATAATGTCTAGTCTGCTGGGGTGTACACCTAAAAAGAATACAATATTGTATGTCAACTGTAATTGAAAAGTAAAAAATGATTAAAAATAATGACTATCCCAGGGATATAAAGTACAGCATAGGAAGTCAATAATATTGTAATAGGCATGTATGGTTTAGATGGGTACTAATTGGGGTATCACTTCATAAAGTATATAAATGTCTAATCACTATCTTATACACCTGAAACAAATTGTCAGCTGTAATTGAAAAATAGATTAAAAAAATAAGTGACCATTGAGCCATGCCAGAGATGTAGGGTGGGGCCTAGGTAGGAAAGGTTGGTCGAGGCAGGGTTCCTGGTGTTGACAAAGTCCTCTCCTTCTCAGGTCAGTTTTCCTGCTCCAATGAGGTTCTGCCCTCATTGCTGGTCCAGCCTTCGCCATTTCTCTGGTCCATTCTCTTCCTGGTTACCCCTGATGACACAGGTCCTCCCCTATTTAATTTCATTCTCCTCGCCCGCCAGCACCCCTCCCCCCATCACTGTTCTGCTGGTGGTTTGCAGTTCCTTTGGCACCCTTGCACCTACGGGCACTTTTGGGTTTTCCCGGGTCTCTCCTTAGATCTTTTCCTGCAGTGGTTCCCAACCTTCTGGCCCTTTAGTTTCTCATGTTGTGACCCAACCATAAATTTTTTCCCCCATAAAATTATTTTTGTTGCTACTTCATAATTGTAATGTTGCTACTGTTATGAATCACAATGTAAATATCTGATATGCAGGATGGTCTTAGGCGACCCCTGTGAAAGGGTCGTTCGGTCGCGACCCACAGGTTGAGAACCGCTGCCTTAGAGTTTTGTGCTGTTGTAGGGTACTCCCTTCCAGAGCCTACCCTGCAGCCCGTGCCATCGCCCCTGAGCATCAGGGTGTCTGCACACAAACCCCTCCGTCTCATCCTTGTTCTGGCCTAGGCCAAGGCGCCTGCTGGAAGGGACAGAAAGCTGTCCCCTTGCTGGAAGCTGGCCCATCCTTGCTGCTTGACACAGTTGCTGCAGGGAAGAAACATCTGCACAGCATATGTTTCAAGGGACCTGGTGTATATGGCATACTGTTCTTAATATGTTTGCTCATCTTCTTGGCCCTTTGTGTTTTAAACAGGACCACCTCCCCGAGAAAGGTTGTTTCCCCAGGTGAGGATTTTTAGCAGTAAAACCCCTCAACTAAGTGCCAGGCGGGTAGTTAGTCACTTTAACTACAATCACGATTAAGCTACATAATCTTTCTTAGAATGATCTCCTTCAGTTACTTCCTTGTAGCTTAATAGAACAATAGAGTAACCTTGGAATGACAGGAGAGTAGAGACAGGACCTGGCTAGGCTGCTGATCAACTGAATGCGCTGTCTCCGTGTCATTCTCCGCCGATTCTGTCCACACCTTTGGAAACCCCTGGACCTGCTGGGGCTGGACCCCAACATCCTCTGAGTTCCAGCCTCCAGGGGATTCAGCAGCAATACGGACGAGCGAGTCGCCACTTCAGGCAGAACACCAGACTTCCCTTTGCTCACTTACAGGGTATCGGTCAGTCTTCAGCCTCCCACGCCCCTTAAACCCTCCTTTCCCCGACCCGGTCCCGGGCTACGAAGGACCCTAGGAAGGCAGCGGGAGAGAAAACCCCGGTTCGGGGGCGGGGGGCTCTTCCCGGACCAGACCGCCGCCAACGAGGGAAGCCCATCGCTGCCCGCCCCCGCCAGCAGCGGCCGAGTGTCCCCCGCACCCTCCGGGCCTGGCTCCTGCGAGGAGACCGAGGGCCACCGGCGCCCAGTAAACCAGCACGGAGACAGCCGGCGGCTCCATCCCATCGGCGGCTCCGCCCACAGGG